GATAAATTTTTGAAAATTTTCTTCATGACCGTTAGCGAAAAGATTTAAATTGGAAATCAATCTGTAAATTTTAATAGCCAATCAGTTAAATTTACGAAATTCAGATAATAGGTTTTTTATACAGGTGGCCGAGCATCCTTATATATTAACCAAAGAATAAATATAACAGAAATAAATTTTAACGACAATATTGTGGTGACAGAGTCATCCACGTTATAACAGTAAATTATGGTGACGGAATCATCCACAATATAGGCGGCTTAGCCGTCCATTGATATGGTGTATAAAACATCCATTACAACGATTACTTATAGGGGCGACATTCCTCCCACTATAGTAACGAGTAAATAACGGTATCCGAACAACCACTAGAAAATAATATACATATATCTGTATACATAATTTTTTATTATTTTTTCTTTTCTCCTTTTTTTTTTCTTTTCTTTTCTTTTTCGTTTACTCATTTTTTTTTTTAACGAGGCGACATATCGCCCGGTATAATACCGTATTTTTTTTTTCAGCGAACATATAGTGATCGTGCTTATAACGTGTTATAAATAATTACTTTATTTTATGTTGTATATAAATATAAATAATGGAGAAAATTTTATATCCGCAGAAATATCGGATACTGAATAATAAAGACACGAGAGAAGGAGAAAGATTTCTTATAACTTCTTATTATTGAAGTATGAATTGTGATTTTACAACGAACGAATTCGTTCGTTTATATAGGCGTAATAAAGTAAATTACTATGCGTGCATAGTGACGGTGGGCTCCACACAAATTAATAAACAACGAAACGTTTAACGCATGTGTATGCGTATATTATTGACATTTACGTTTGCCTCTTTTGTTGACTTTTACAACAGAACACAAATTAATTTGAATATGTTGTAAAAGTCAACAAAAGAGGCAAACGTAAATGTCAATAATATACGCATACACATGCGTTAAACGTTTCGTTGTTTATTAATTTGTGTGGAGCCCACCGTCACTATACACGCATAGTAATTTACTTTATTACGCCTATATAAACGAACGAATTCATTCGTTGTAAAATCACAATTCATACTTCAATAATAAGAAGTTATAAGAAATCTCTCTCCTTCTCTCGTCTCTTTATTATTCAGTATCCGATCTTTTTGCGGATATAAATTCTTTCTCCATTATTTATTTTTGTATACACCATAAAATAAAGTAATTATTTATAACACGTTATCAGCACGATCAATCTATATTCGATGAAAAAAAAAACGGTATTATACCGGGCGGTATGTCGCCTCTGTTAAAAAAAAAAAGTATTAGTAAAAGAAAAAAAAAAAGAAAAGAAAAAAAGAAAAGAAAAGAATAAAAAAAAAGAATAAAAAATATTTATATAGATATATGTATATTATTTTCTAGTGGTTGTTCGGACACCGTTATTTACTCGTTACTATAGTGGGAGGAATGTCGCCCCTATAAGTAATCGTTGTAATGGATGTTTTATACATCATAGCAATGGACGGCTAAGCCGCCTATATTGTGGATGACTGCGTCACCATAATTTATTTACTGTTGTAACGTGGATGACTCTGTCACCACAATATTACCGTTAAAATTTATTTCTGCTATACTTATATTTTGCATAATATATAAGGAGGCTCGACCACCTGTATAAAAACCTATTATCTGAATTTGGTAAATATAACTGATTGGCTATTAAAATTTACACATTGTTTTCTGTTTAATTCTTTTCACCAACGGTCATGAAGAAAAATTTCAAAAAATTATCACTTTTCAAACGGATATAAACAGTAATTTTCAATCTATAAATACACTCATTTTCACTCATTCATTCACTCAAAAATCTTATCTCTCCTCATATATTTTTCTAAAGAATTTTGTTTAAGTTTTCATTTTTGAAAATGATTCGCTTGTTTTTAATTCTTTGTTTAATCGCAATCGTTGCATGTACTTGTGGTCTTTTCGTTGGGGAATTTACTAGCGAAGAATTTACTATAAGTATCGCTTTACTTTTCTATGTAGTTATTTTCTTTGTAATCGCTTGCATCATTAATATAAATGGTCCAATATGAAATAAATATATTATTTTACTAATAATATTTATTTACGTTTGTATTTAGATAACTAATGGCAAGCATTGAGAAGCTTAAGTTTCTGGCTCTACACATCACTTTGGCCAATTATATATTTTGAATTGCCAACGTCGAATTACATTTACAATCTCTTGGCTTAATAAAAACCGTAAAAGAGAATAATACTTCGACGGTTCAAGAAAGGGAAAAATTGGTGATCTTTATTTTAAGACACCTTGATGAAAGTATCATATGTGATTATGCACACATAAAAGATTCCAAAGAGATCTGGGAATCCCTAAAAGCTCGATTTGATAATCGAAAAGCCATAAATCTCCCACTTGTTCGGGAGGAATGACAAAGTCTAAAATTCAAAGACTTTGATAAAGTGATGGATTATAATTCCGCTATGATGAAAATTGTGGTTAAACAAAAATATTATGGTGATATTATCACCGATTCTCAGATGCTTGAGAAAACGTATACCACGTTTCATGAAAACCACATTACCCAGCAAAAATTGTATATGTCATGCGGGTATACCAAAATTTTCGGATTTATTTGTGGCACTCCTAATAGCGGAAAAGATTAATGAGACCGCTCATGCGGATAACTAAAATACTTGTAGTGAGATTGCTAGTCTCCAGTAATGCCATTATATAAGTATTATGTATTTCAGTTGTTTGAAAATAAAGTTCTTTCTGAAAATGAACTAATGTATGATTATTCTATATTTTCAATATCAGTGAGATTTGCTTATATTTATTAACGTTTATGTTGATTATAGAAATGGATCAAGATTCAAACAAAACGATTGCAAGGAAAAATATCAAAGATATTTGTATACCAGATTGTGGAACAACGCACACTATTCTGAGATATCAGAGATTTTTCTCTGAATTAAAACCGACAAAAATTATTGTCAATACAATACCGGGTCCTACAGACTTGATTGAAGGAAGTGGCAAAGCAAATTTTAAATTGTCTAATGGAACAAAGTTTTCCATAAATAATGCCTTATATTCTCCGAATTCTAAGAGGAATTTGTTGAGTTTCAAAGACATATACCTTCAAGGATATGAAACTCAGTCTGCAACTGAGGATGGAAAGAAGTATATGTATATAACTTCTAATAAATCTGGAAAAAGACATGTCTTGGAAAGATTTCCAGAACTTTCTTCTGGTTTGCATCATATCTATATAGATGCCATAGAATCACATCTTGTGATCAAAAGAAATTCAGAAGATTTCGTATTATGGCATGATCGCCTTGGTCACCCAGGCACCACAATGATGCGAAAAATCATAGAGAGCTCACATGGTCACTCATTGAAAAATCATGAGTTGAAACATGAAAATAAAATGACATGTGCAGCGTGTTCTCTTGGAAAGTTGATCATAAGGCCATCGCCAACCAAAATTGATAAAGAATCACCAAAGTTCCTTGAACGAATTCAAGGCGATATTTGTGGACCGATACATCCACCATGTGGACCATTCCACTATTTTATGGTAATGATTGACGCATCTAGCAGATGGTCACATGTTTGTTTATTGTCATCTCGAAATTTGGCATTTGCGAGATTTATAACTCAGAGAATCAAATTAAGAGCTCAGTTATCTGATTATTCCATTAAGAGAGTTAGACTAGACAACGCTGGTGAATTTACATCCCAAACATTCAATGATTATTGTATGGTAACATTATTACGCCTATATAAAATTCGTTCGTTGTAAAATCACAATTCATACTTCAATAATAAGAAGTTATAAGAAATCTCTCTCCTTCTCTCGTCTCTTTATTATTCAGTATCCGATCTTTCTGCGGGTATAAATTCTTTCTCCATTATTTATATTTATATACACCATAAAATAAAGTAATTATTTATAACAGAATAGATAAAGTTGAAATTTTTGTCAAGTTTGTTGCAATGAAAAAACACTACCTAAAGTTAATGGGATCATTGAATTTTGTGAGTGAGATAGTGACAAAGGACAAATATAATTAATAAACAGATAAAACATAGTTTATCATGTTCCATACTGTGGGTGCATGGGTGGGTCCTTATGATAGTGTATAATTTTGAATTCTGGTTATCTTACTATTTAGAATCCCCATTATTTGGAAAGTCAACATAAGTTTAATATTTATTTGGAAAGTCAACATAAGTTTGATATTTATTTCGTTTCGTCGTGAGTTGAGGATTTAAATCAACGTTTTGAATAAGTTGGGGATTTTAATGACATTTTTCCCGATATAGAACACAAATTTAAGTGATTTTTTTTTTATGAAGAATAATGGGAATAAATGTTCATAGAACGATTATTGCCCACATAACTAAGTCTTAATTTCGATAGAAGAATACCAAAATCTTATTCAAATATAACAAAAACCTAAGATGTATAGTTACCACTTCCTTTGGTCAGTATTTTTTTCGAACAAAAGTTCTTAAGCTATGCCCTTAATCTCTCCATGTTTCAAGCTTAAAGACATAATAATTAGTGATTTGTGAAAGTGATTTTAATAAATAAATTTGAATAGAAAAAATTGAAATTTTTGTCAAGTTTGTTGCGATGAAAAAACACTACCTAAAGGCTAAAGTTAATGGGATCATTGAATTTTGTGAGTGAGATAGTGACAAAGGACAAATATAATTAATAAAGAGATAAAACATAGTTTATCATGTACCATATTGTGGGTGCATGGGTGGGTCCTTATGATAGTGTATAATTTTGAATTCTGGTTATCTTACTATATAATCTTGTAGACTTGGTCTCCAGCAACTTCTACATCAGTCTACTTGGAATAAATATGTGTTCAATAATGGTGATTACATATGCCTAATCTATGAGTAATTTACCACAAAATGACACTAACTGCGATACGTTAAGAAAATTATTGTAGTGTCCTCTCCAACACTAGAAAATGTAAAGATTAATTAGGTCAGAAACCATTCTTTAGTTTTGTCAAAGATAAGGAAATATCCAAAACCAAATAACTTAAAGCTACAAATAAAAAGAATATAGAGAATAAGAACAATGATCTTTTTGACATCACAAAAGCTAAAGAGAATTTTTTTAACTTCATGATTAAAGCCACATACTTTACTTTTCTATCGCAAGAACAAACCGTAGGTCTCACATAATCTAGAGATTTATTCAAAAAATACTCTTTTACTTCGTATCTTATCTCCATTACTCATCTAATAATATACTTTAAACCACAATGATTCATTGGCATAGTTGCAAAACCGATATTTAGTCTAGATTTTACTTTAAGAATTCAGTAACCTCTAAATAACTTTCAGAAAATGGTACTATATATTACAAATCATTAACTTTCTATATGGACTTTTTTGACTCGAAGATCTAGCTAGCAAGAAAAATTAGTTTACAAGTTAACACATATTGCATAAAAACTAAACGGTTTAGTCTAAACCAAACCGAAACCGGAAAAATGAAATTGTTAGGGGAGACAAATGTAAGAAACTAGAAGTTTCGGGGTTCTTTAGTAAAAAAGAGAATAAAAGAAGAAAGAAAGAGAAACATGCCTGGAGAGGAGTGATCTTAGAGGAGGAGAAGAACTGATCGGCGGTGATGAACTCTTGGTTGAGTTTAGGACAAACGTTTGTATCCGCCAAACAAGCCCTTAATCTCCCCCAGTTCTTGGAATCCACAACGTTCTCCTTTAGCCAATTCGAGAACCCTTCAAGCCTATACTCTTTATAACCTCTACCAGGAACCCGATACGATCCATCGGGTCGGGTCACGACGAAAGCAAATATCAGAACAACCAACAAAAGTCCGATCAATATCGCCATACAACACAAGTAAACCGCTAGTAAAGTCTCCTTGTACCTGAAATTTGAAAGCTCAAAGTTTAGATCTTTATGATACGTAACTGGAAAAATTCTCTCTGTTTTCTTTGATTCTTACTTGTAGGCGCCGATGAAGCCGGTGGCGGAGACGACGAGGATGAGGACGCCGAGGACGACGACAGGCCAACGGAGGAGATTGACACACTCGTTGTCGGGTTTTGAAGCTAGCCATATACCTGACGCCGTTATGGGTATGGAACAGAGTAACGCTAGTAAGTTGAGTATCGCCGTTAAGTTATTCGCTAACGCCATTAAATTCTGTCTCTCTTTGTTCTTGAAGATTCGAGCTTTTTTTGGAAAGAAAATGAAATTATGAGAGTGAGAGGAGTGTCTCTGTTTTTCTCTTAATGAGGTCGGTGGTTAGAGATGATGGGATGTGTGAAACTTGTTACTGCTATTTACAGAAAACGATGTTCGGTCCTATCCGGTTAGTTCCGGTTTGGACTGATTTGGACTTTTATACAACAGTGTGGTTTAAAAAAATTAATCAGATAAATTAACATGTGAAAAGTCTGAATAAAATATAGTTTAAGTTTAGCTTTAGTATGTAAAAAGTTAGGTTTTGAACAAGTTTTGGGTTGTGAGGTAATAAAGTGAACTTGTTAATCTGGTCGGACCGGCTTTTGGTTAAAGGAGAGTGAATCATGCGGACACGTGGCGACACCAGATGACTTTTGTGTATCCATTCTGCGAGTTACTGAAGTTATCAACCAATGAGTACTAGCGACGTGGCAACGACGACTTTGGGTCATTTGCGTTGAACGCATTTCCTGAGAATATTTCGACAGAGAAGAACGCAAAATGGAGTGAGTTCCATTGTTCGAAATGTTCTTCTTTTTTAAGTATTAGAGGTTTCTCAGCAGAATTTGTCTCCGGCTGATGAGGGAAATGTCGGGTAATGGTCAAGAGGTAGGCTTTTGTTTTCGTTCAGAGGATTGGGATTGCACACAAGCTGTTCGATAAAATGTGTGAACCAAAAAGCTAGCGGATGAATTTTCTCATCTCGATTTTTATTGGGATGGTGATGGGACTCGAGAAGAGTTTGAGTTTTAGTTGTCGAACCAAAAACTTGGCTTTCAGTTTCAGACGCTGATATAGATTCAGAAATGCTATTTGTTGATTCTAGGAATTGGGAAGGAAATGAGTCAGATCAGGGAGAATATGGAAAGAGATGATGGATTTGTGGATTTGGCTAAGCGTTGCGTTACATCTTGAAAATCATGAAATGGCTGTCAATCTGAGAGCTTAGATTACAAGCTCTGTGTCTAATCTCAAGTTCGACAACTTTGCTTGGGTATAGTGAAGGAGGTATACACTTTAAGAAGTTGATGAGACTGCTTCAGTTTTTCTTTGGAACTTTTCAAGTGGAAGTGAAGAAAGAGCAAAAGAGTAAAAAAATGTTACTTTTTATTGGAACAAAGTGGTGATAGTTGTGAACTGCTTGTTCTATTGATGTAGTATAGCTGAATCAGCATGATCCTGACATGGCTGGTTATTTGAATTATAAAGGAAACACAAGAAGAAGACAAAGTTTAATAAAAAGGGAGAGTTATGTTGTGAAACACATAAAGCGTTAAAGGCCAGATGATGCTTCCTAGGCCGAATCCGCATTTCCCATTTTCTTCATGGTCTCAAGTCTGGGGCCTTTGTCTCCGAACTTGGTAGTTGAATAAAGCTTCAGGTAGTCTTGAAACCGGTAGCCACTTGGATACAAGAGCTTTGGAGCTGGAGATATTACGGCATCACCAGCCGGATTGTAAAACGTAGCAATCGACAGTCTACTTCCATGCTTCACTGTCATTACACGATGTACAACACTCTTGTACCTCCCATTACTCAGTATCTCGAGTTGATCACCAGTATTGACAAAGATGGTATTGTTCTTGGATGGTGGTATAGGAACCCACTTCCCATCTTTAAAGAACTCAAGACCAGGCACTTGATCATCCTGTAGCAGTAATATGATGCCACCAGCATCCGTATGTTCTCTCAGCCCTCTCATAAGCTCAGGATTAGGACATTCTGGGTATTTAGCCACTTTTGTTCCAAAAGCTGGACCTTTTGAACCAGAAAACGCCTTGATTATGTCTTCCTTATCAAGACCAAGATTCTCACACATGAGCTTGGAGAGCCTCTCTGCAAACTTGTGCAACTGAGAAACATATTCATCCATCGTCTTGCTGCAAATATCAGTTTTCCCCCTCTCAAATTGTTTAGTATAATAAGCAAACAGGTAAAATGGTAAAGCCTTTGGTACTATCAATTCTTATTTACTTTACCTGAGTTCCTCTGAAATGTTTGGGATCTCGCAGATGTTTGAAGTTGGCTTGTGAGATATGAAGAAACTGCTTTCCCAATCTGCATCTGAGGTTTTGCCTTCACTCAAAGCCTTGACCATCTCTGACTGGTAAAACTTCTCTTTCAAATGCTCCTCATAGTGAGAGTTAATCATCTTCTTCACTTTCTCCATCAACTCTTTATCAATTCCATGATTATCAACCTGCATATTCGCCGATACGTTAAGGATACACAGTATACAAATTATCTTAGACAACGCTGGCTTCTGCATAAAGATATTATACATACCATGAAGAAGCCCCACTTATCACATGCATGATCAAGAAGTGCCATGGTCTTGCTTCTGTTCTCTCCATCCAATTCTCCAAAATCAATAACAGGAATCTCCATCTCCCTCTCTTTGATAACCATCTGTTTTGATTTTTCTTCTCACACAGATTTGGTTGAAAAAGTTATGCAATCTGAAAAGATATTTATAGGCATGGAATGAGAGTTAAAACTCTGTTTCTGTATTGTGTTAGGAGGCATAGTTGCCTACTTGGAGGCAAAAACAATAGTTTCTTTCAACACTATTCTTTTTACTCTTTGAAGTTTGAAGTATCATTACATTTAAGGAATAAAAAATTGTATAAGAATCTGCTTTGGAAATGTAAAAGAAACAATAGGATTGAAGAAAAGTCCAAGTTCAGTCCATACATCCATGTGATCACAAGTTTTTTAATTTTTTCATAATTTCTTAAGGGTTCTTGGTCAGTCCCATTGTGTTTGTTTCCTTGTAACATAATTTATGTGAATTTTCTTTCTTCTTCACAAGGAAAGTGTGTTTTTTTTTTCTTATCCTTACTCATATTCATTGGACCTAGCCCATCATGTCTTGTTTTTCTTTTCACTGATTTTTGTCTTTTATTTTTTCTTTAGAGCTTCGCTGAATAATTTATCTAAGCGTAATTAGCTTTTACTACTATAAAAATTGTGTTATTTAGTGTCACCATATTCGGAATAAGAGTGTTGTTGTGTTTAGCGAGGAGCTCTATAACACTAATCACATGATAATATGATCCTTTTTTGGTACAAAAAAATCTACTTGGCCTAAAGCTTTATTGAATTTGATTAACTTGAAAATCGATTTGTGAAAAGGTACAATATCTAATTGTTTATTTCAAGATTACTAGAAATTTTTTAGTTCTACACTATTAATGGCTAAAATAAAAGTTAGGCTGTTCCATTTGCAATAAAAAAGAAAAAGAAATCGATGTGGGTCTAAGCGGGATTAAGCGAAAAAAATTGGCCCCTCCTATGGGCGCTCTCGGTTTTGAATAAATATCTTTTTTTGTGTTTCATATTTTATAACTTCTTGAAGAATTTGGGGTTGTGTTTAAAGAATGTTATCTTTTACCTTTTTAGCGTCGAATATTCCGGATATCAGTTGTGTGTTAGTCTAGTCTATATAAATCAACACCGACAAATATCTTCTTTTCGTGGTGTAAAATTCAACCATGATGACCCATTAGAGCTTAAATGGCCAAGACTTAATCTACAAAGACGTTCATTTGTGTATGACGTAACTATGTTTTGTTTAGTTTGAGGAAGTAAATATGGTAATGTACTAATGTTATTGAATCTTTTGTTTTGGTATTGTAATATGTTTAACGTTATTATATTGCATATGTTACATAATGGAGATTTGAACTGAATATATGAATGAAATTGAGCTTGGATTATTACTATAAGTCTATATATTATTCCTTGAAGATTGATTTGCTTTTGAATCCCATAGGCTAATGTGCAGTGGTTTTGAATCCCATAGACAAGAGAGGCTGCATTAGGTGGCCCTAAGAGGAAGTATGCTCAAGGAATGGGTGCTAGACCATTTACCCCTAAAAACACTACCCATCCAGAGAGTAAGATACAATAGACGACGCGGCTTTTAAAAGTTTGTTGGTCAGTCTATCAGATAGGAAGTAGAGATAAGCAAACAAAATCTCTGTTGTAAGATTTATTTTCCTTCACGAAAACATTGTGGTAAGCAATCAATACAATCAAACGTTCAAAATTTTATTGTTATATACTGTACTTCATTATTATTTTTTATGTACCACCTTATAACCGGTCGATTAGAAAAAACATGGATGTCACATTATTGATCATTTGAGAAATACTATCCGGTTAACAATGTCAGATCTCCATATATAAGAAGTTAACAATGTCGGATCTCCATATATAAGAAGTATAGTTAACTAAAAAAACGAGACTTGAAATAAGCACAAGAATTAAACAACACCATTCACCATTTTTTACGCAACATTTGCCGCCACAAGTAGAGTAAACCATTCATCATACGAAATGCCTTAGCGAAAAGCAACACCATGGGCCGTGTACTCTTCTTTTTCTTCTCCTCCTCCTCCAGTGCATGAGTTTGAGTTTTGAGATGCCTGGTGAAATTTTCAATGAGAAAACGTATTGATAAAACAAGTCCATCCGGTTTAGCTAGGATGCTTAATTACCTCCTCCTCCAGTGCATGAGTTTTGAGATGCCTGGTGAAATTTTCAAAGCCTTTGCCAGAAATATTGCATACTAGGCAAGCCCAGGAGGCATGTTCACCCGTTTCACTGCACTTATCCTCCGCAAGAGTCCCTGAATAATCTGTGGGAAAAAAAAAGTAGCTGGTTCAGCAACAGATTTGCTGGATATTTCAACAACACTGAGAGAGGACAAAATCACACCTTCCAGACGAAGAAAGTTTCCAAAGGAGGACTGAGAACCAGGAGAATCATATGTAAACTGCTTAATAACGTGGCATCCCCACTTTTGTTTTAGATGGTTCATATCGTCCTTTGAGACTGTCGAATAAGGGCATATAAACATAATGGTAGCTGGAAGTGGATTCAAACAGGTCCAGCGAGCCATGAGATGCATAATGTCTGCGGAATCTGTTTCTGAAACAACAAAAGATTTGAGACTCGGAAGGAAAATAAAGAATATTGTAGGAAGGCAAAAGGATGAGAAGATACTAACTGAAGGTGATGTGGTTAAGACTGATTCCAGTGGACGAGACTGCTCGCAGGACGTCATCAGGGACGTCTGTTAGTTGGCCAAAGGCATAGATGGTGATAGGACCGGAGTAGCCTAAATCCTCGAAATACCGAGTAATACACGGACCGACCAGACGAGCATCAGAGTCAGGGGGAACAGGACACCTCTTGATGTCCCAAAGGACTGCTGTTACACCCGCATGATAGTCATCCGTCTGGGTACCATTCATCATTCAAGATTAACATGGGGTCAGATATAGGCAAACAAAACTAGAACTGAGAAAGAGAAACTACTGAGGTTGTTTGACTAAAAAAAAAAAACAGTTAAGACAGTGACAAAACGTATTGATACAAGGTGTTTTTTCAGATATTAAAACTTGCCTCCCATTGCTGCTCCAGATGAGAACCAAGGGAACCCTGAACAACCACCTCTTTGTATCTCTCAAGATACTCACTTAGTGTTGAGTCTATGGCCTCCTTGAAAACCAAATATGCACATCCAGTGAGAAAAGATAACATGGGGTCAAACTTAGGCAACGAAAACTACAAGTGAGAAAGGGAAACTACAAGCAGACAAACAAAACTAGAATTTAAAATTTTCAGATATTTTACCTGCAGGTCTTTCATTGTTGTCTCCTCACTCAACACAGTAGTCAAGTTATCCTCCTCTTTTATCTCATCGGTCGAATACACAAGAGGAAGCAAATCCGACAGCTTCTTGAAACCCAACTGCACATCCCGTGGAAAAAGATAAGACAGGAGACAAACAAAACTACAAGTGAGAAAGGGAAACTACAAATTGTGGTAAATGGTTGTTTGACTCAAAAACAATGAGAAAACGTATTGATACAATCTGGTTTGGCTAGGATGCTTAAATTACCTCCTCTTCCAGTGCATGAGTTTTGAGATGCCCGAAGCAAGTTTCAAAGCCTTTGCCAGAAATATCGCATTCTGAGCAAAACCACGAGGCAAGTTCATCCGTTCCACTGCACTTATTAATAGGGGGAACACCCTCCATTGAAAACCTACACGAAAAATCAAAATTTGGGAAAGTAATTTATTCTACAACGGAAATCAAACATCAGATAAGCATTCGGAAAGATAGAGATTGACACGGTTTGAGAGAGAGGAACACGGCCGTAATCGTTTCGATCGCAAATACAACTTTTCAGATAGATAGATAGATACTTGTAGGGTTCTTCTAAGAAATAGTGATCTAAAAGTGTAAGAAACAGTGATATAAGGATTGAGAAATTTACCTGAGAGATAAGCAGAGTTGGTTGGATCTCTCGATATCGACGACTAGGGTTTTGAATTTTGATTGAAGCGAACAAATTACCATTGCCGCGTTGGCGTCCGATATATATATATATAAAGGGAGGAATTAGATGGGCTTCGTTTTAATGGGCCTACAGTCCGGATATCATTTGTGTTATTAGATGGGCTTCGTTGGCGTCCGATATATATAAAGGGAGGAATTAGATGGGCTTCGTTGGCGTCTGACAAATATCTTTTTTCCGTGGTGTAAAATTCAACCACAACAGCCCATTAGAGCTTGAATGGGCCAAGACCTAATCTACAAAGACGTTTCAGTTATGTATACGACCAAACTTTGTTTCGTTTAGTTCGAGGAAGAAATGGTAATGTTATTGATTTTTTTTTTTTTTGGTGTTGTAATTATATTTAATATGTTACATTATTGTAAATGATGGTTTATCGTTTTTAACACACGGACTTTAACTATCTTTAACATGCGTGTGTGTATTTGAGATTACAACGAATGATTCAACTTTTAACATTTTGGAATTATTCAAAAAGTTTATACCATGTCAAGATATCTAAAAGTTTTCATGTTATTGATATCAGTTAGGGTCATAACTCATAAGACCTCTTTAGTAACTCCATTAAACCTTCTGCTTCACCAAGAGTTTCTCTTCCACTTCGACATTTTTTTTAAAGTATGTCTTACCCGATCAAGATCATATCCTTCATTCATACTTAAACTTCACCTTTTTTGTGTCAACTTTAGACTTCGTTCTTTTGTTACGTCAATTTAAACGCCACTTTAAAGATTGAACTCTTATAACCTAAATGGAATTAAAGGGGTTGATAACGTAGGATGCGGATTATGTTAAATAATAGAAATCATATAAATATAACAAAACCTGTCAAATATCTTTGACTCATGCCTTACAATCGACGGTTCTTTTGATAATTCCGACTAGATTTCATTTGATAATCTCTTAGGAGTCGGTGCACCGTATCTCCAGTAGATGGATGGTAGATAAAAATCTCACGACATGAGTGATATAAAAATACTAGAACCAAACTTTGATTATTCTGTTTCTATGTAATTTTTTTTGTTCCGCTTCATGCATGCAATGTAGTTTTTTAAAAGCTATATTTTTCAGCTATTGCCAATTACTACACTTTTTGTTTTATTTTTTTTATCAACAATATGCAATATGTGTATTTGAATCCGATTGTCAAATTTTTTGTACAAACCATTAGACTATAAATGCTAGTTCTTATTTTACTTTGTTTTAAATATTGTTTAATGATATTACAAATTATCTAAAAGTTTACCAAGTAAGAATCTACAACATAAGCCTTTTTCACTTAATAAACTGAATTAATAAAGATAAACTTGTAAATAGTTGCATCAATAATACAAATCAATTTTTTTTTCTTTCCATAAGTTGTTGTAGAATTTCCCAAGTCCTAAAATTGATATGAGCTATTGAGCATGCATTTAAATGAATTTAAATCTCAAAATCGTACAAAAAGTTCTTTATAGATCGAACTGTACTTTATAATATCAAAATAGAGTTTTAGTACTACCGAATCTAACTAACGAATATATTCAAATCCATAAAAGTTATAATCTATTGTAAATCTTCTATAATACATGAAAAAAAAGAAAGAGAATCATATATTTGTTTGCAACTCTGTTTAGATAGTCACTGATTTACATTAGAAAAATTGTTGACAAAGGAATTAAAAAAGCAAATAGAATTTGGTAAAAATACTCCAGATATAGAGATTCAAAAGAGTCATTCCGTAGTATATTTTTTTTGTCAACATCTTTATATTAAATTCAAAAAGCTATTCACGAGGAATGTTGTTTACATATGTGATATGATGCGGTTCGATACGAACTTTTCGTACTATATTATCCGCTTTAACATTTACACAACAAGAGACTAAAGATTAAAAAAAAGCTTAAAAATTCTTCATTGTCGTTCTGATAGCGCACCAAGCTCAAATCAATAGGCGTGAGCATTGATATGGTCCTTGAGGCTGAACAAAACTGAGAGATACTTACTCTAAACATGTCGACAATTCCTTACATATCAAAAGTTCTCGTAAATCCTAGAAGTTTTAATAAATCTATTAAACATGGCATAAAATTCTCCACAACGTAATTGAAGGGAAGCTTGAGGGACTCCAAATCCCATAATCCATATATAACCGAGCCATTGGCTGCAAAAAAGCAATAAAAACAATTTTAGGATATGCGACTAATTACGATTCCATGTGCCATATGCTTGTTGTATCAATTACCTTAACCAAAGAAGCAGCAGTGGAAGTTCCAGAAGTAGAATGATATATTGGTTCTGAAGTTCCTGCATCAGTGGAGACGTTTTGATCCCAATTTAGATGGAGAACGTTTTCCAAGTCGAATCGCGGCTCTGGATAAAATTCGACACTCCCATGAATTCGAGTTGAAACGTAGATTAGGGACAGTTTTATTATTCTCCTCGACTATCTGATTTATATGTTCTGCGTATCCTTTATCATTCGTTAGTAGAATGATAACCCCCTTCTGACTTTGAGCAGACCAGGATTCCATTCTCTTTATCATTCGTTAGTAGAATGATAGCCCCCTTCTGACTTTGAGCAGACCAAGATTCCATTCTCTTTATAAAGTAAGTTTTAAAAGTTTAAAATCTTGTTATTTGAAAGAAACAAAAAAAATTATCTAAACGTAAATATTTCCGTACATAAAAAACATTTAATCTAAATTCAAAAACCAAAAATGTGCATAAGTAATAATATATGATGTTAAATTTTAGAATTCGCCTAATTATAACTCTTTAAACCAAAAATTTGAAATAAATATATATAATTTAAAATTGAAATTCTAATTAAATATAAGTTAACATCATTTATAAAATACTAAGTTATATTTAAAACAACACTATAATTAAATTAAACGAAAAAGACTAATATCAAAACTAATAGATGTTTTGAAACACTTTCTTATACAAACTATTTAAATTTCTTGTCTTAGGCTTTCCATCTCTACATTTGATTAAGATTTTTAAAGCATCTATAGACATTACCTTGGAAAGCACAACATGTATTTGTCCAATAGAAAATGTAGATCTAGGTAGGAACAAACCAAGTTTAGATAATGTTTGACTTTGACTCTTATTAATGGTTATGGCGAAAGAAACAACCACGAAAAATTGTCTACGTCACATCCTGAAAGAAAACTTACCTTCGGATGGGATTACAAATATTTTTAGGTATCAAGACTTTTTCTCCAATCTTTCTACTAGTTATAATTCGAGTCTCAGTAACATGATTCGCCTAATAAGCAACTTATAACCTCGTATTGTTCGTTGCATAAACCACTTTTAGGATAAATTTTTCTAAGAGTAATGATGAGAGCATCGACCTTTTAATATCAATTTGTGGTTAGGCATTCCATAAACCTTGATGTTGTTCAAATTTTTTGAAAATAAAGCATACCATATTTTAAGCTTGTGTTATATGTTTCAATACCATCAAAACTTAAAAAATAGATTATTATTTCTCCTATTAATTTTTACAAACAAATTAATATTTCAAAAAAGTATAACCTAATATGTTTGTCTATATCAACAAAGCAACAAAATCAATCTCAAGAGTTATTATCTTTCATCTTCGACAGCATGTAGACACATATCCACATCCATGTTTGGTGGACTTAATGTAGCTCACTCTTAAAAGAACGAAGGTTTACAATTCTATGCTAACAATGCACCTTAAACTTTATGTACGATTGCTTTGATAAGTTCATCACACTATCTTACAATGGCATTACCTGTCACAGCTAGGGGCTCATTCCTTACTGTGCTACGTTCTTTTTCTTCACATACTACATGAGAGCTGCCATTAGGCTCTCTGCGCTGTCTCAAGCAGGAGTTATCTACGTAATTAATGACCCATTATTCAATCGGTCTTGGAGAAGATGGACCGACCCACCAGCCTATAGAACATGTCGCGATTGAGATTTCGGTGCCATGCCAAACATCTTGATGCTGAGGCCAGCAGATGGAACTGAAACCGCGGGGCGTACATAACAGAAAGAGGCCTTCTACCCTGGCTCTGTCCAGAAAAAAATCTGCCTCATCTACCTGGAACTTTGGTCGAGGGAGTGGAGAAGGAGGGATATGTAATGTTAGACGACTCCACAAGTAATATAGCCCACACCTAATCATGATGGGGACATGCATGGTCGGTGCTAGAGATTGCTGCAAAGGCTGGAGAGAAGCTGAGAGAAGAAGGAAGCGCAGTAAGAGTTACTTATGTTCACTGGACTAAGCCCATCGTGTCTAATTGTCTATTATGTTTTTCTTTTCACCGACTCTTTTTTTTTTTTTCTCTTTAGAACTTCACTGAATAATTTATATAAGCGTGATTAGCTTTACTAGTTTAAAAAATGTGTTATTTTAGTGTCATCAAATTTGGAATAATAGCGGTGCTGTGTTTAGCGAGGAGCTCTATACACTAATCAAATGATAATATGACCCTTTTTTGGTATGATTATGAAGAAATCTATACTTGGCCTAAAACTTTATTGGATTTGTTATTTGAAAATAGATTTGTGAAAAAGGTACAGTATCTAATTGTTTATTTCAAAATTACTGGAGAATTTTAGTACTAAAAAAAAAGAAATCAATGTAGGTCTCTAAGCAGAATTAAGCGAAAGAATTGGCCCATCCTATGGGCGTTCTCGGTTTTGAATACATATTTTTTTATGTGTTTCATATTTTATAACTTCTTATATAAAGAATTTGGGGTTGTGTTTAAAGAATGTTATCTTTGTCTTTTTTAGCGTCGAAAATTCCGGATACCACCATTTGAATGTTAGTCTAGTCAATATAAATAGGCTTAAATGGGCCAAGACCTAATAATCTACAAAGACGTTTCAGTTATGTATACGACCTAACTTTGATTAGTTTAGTTTGAGGAAGAAATGGTAATGTTATTGAATCTTTTGTTTTGTTGTTAAATTATGGTTTATCGTTAACACGGACTTTAATTGTCTTTATCCTTTAACATGCGTGTATTTGAGATTGCACCGAATGATTCTTTTTTTTTTTTTTTTTTTTTTGCTAAGAACAACGAATGATGATTCAAGTTTTAACTTTTAACATTTTGGAATTATTCAAAAAGTTAATACCATGTCAAGATATCTAAAAGTTTTCATGTTATTGATATTAGTTAGGGTCATAAGACCTCTTTAGAGTCTTTATATATTGTTTTAGTAACTTCATTAAACCTTCTGTTTCACCAAGAGTGGGAAGTCGATCTTTTAAGTATGTCTTACCCGATCAAGATCATATCCTTCAAACTTAAACTTCACTTTTTTTTTTGTCAACTTCAAACTTCATTCTTTTCTTACGTCAATTTAAACGCCCCTTTAAAGAATGAACTCTTATAACCTAAATGGAATTAAAGGGGTTGATAACGTAGGATGCGGATTATGTTAAATAATAGAAAATTAGAAATCATATAACAAAACCTGTCAACTATCTATGACTCATGCCTTATACAATCGACGGTTTAGATTAGTTTGATAATTCCGACTAATAAGATCACTAATCACTTACGAGTCGGTGCACCGTATCTCCATAATCACCATATCCATTAAATGGTAAATATATGTAATCTCACGATAAGTGATATATTATTACCAAACTTTGATTATTCTGTTGCTATGTAATTTTTTTTCTTTTCTTTCTTCGCTTCATGCATGCAATGTACAGTAGTTTTTAAAAAGCTATATTTTTCAACTATTGCCAATTATGAATCAGGTTGTCAAATTATCTAAATGTTTGTACAAACCATTAGACTATAAATCCTAGTTCTTCTTTTGTTTCATTACAAATATTGTTTAATGATTTATCACACACATTACAAATTATCTAAAAGTTTACCAAGTTATAAGAATCTATAAGTCTATAACAAAAGCCTTTTTACTTTATAAACTGAATTAATAAAGATAAAAATTCTAAATAGTTGCATTAATAATACAAAGTAACATTTTTTTATTTCCAATAGTTGTTGCAGACTTTTCCAAGTCCTAAAATTGAGATGAGCCTTTAAATGAATTAAGTCGTACAAGATTTTCTTTATAGGTCAAACCGTACTTTTTTTTTTTTGATAACCCAGTGTCCAGACCACACAGTGATCCGACTAGCCCACTGGGCCTAAGCCCGCGTGCCTGGGATTTTTAAGCCTCCACTTAAGAGCCCCCCGGAACTGGTGGTCTGGGACGCTGCGCCCCGCAGGTAAATTGCGCAGTGGCCAAGTGGAGATCTAGCAATTGCGCGCTTGCGGAGAATCGATCCCTGGCCTAGACCAACAGGGCAACTCCTCCACAAGTGGCAACCACTAGACCAAGAACACTTGGTTGTCAAACCGTACTTTATAATACCAAAATACAGACATTTTGTACGACCCAATCTAAGCAACGAATATATTCAAATTCATAAAAATTATAATATATTGTACAATATCTTTTTTTTTTTTCACTGAAAGATTTCATTATATAATACAAAGGACAGATACAAGGGTGGAATGCGTTTTTGGAATACGGTTTTGAAATACAAAAGCCGGCGGAAAACAAAGATATCCCCGGAAGCTAAAGCCCGATACACGGGAAACATAAGATAGGACTAAACAAAAAGTTAAGCTCTCGAAATCATCGGAAAAGTCGGAGGAGAACAATAGACGCGGAACTAAGAGCTCAAAAGGCGCAGACTAGAAGACCTACAACCGCAAACGGAGTAGAACCAAGGATAGAGGAAACCGCGAAGAAATAACCCAACTAAAAACGAATATCCCGAGAAAAGAAAACCACAATCGCGAATCTTAATCCTAACCACCTAGTCTTCTACCGAACAAGTCTAAATCTAGAACTTTGCATCCCCACAAAAGGTTAGTCTTACAAGAACAGACAAGGAACAGACCACGAGAGAAAACCTACTTATTATTCTAAACTAGAGGCGGTGGAAAGAGACAAACTTAAAAGATTCAACGAACAAAGATGGGATAAAACGAAAGCTATCCAAAACCTAGCCAAACACGACCAATCCCCGGAGCTTTCATGAGATAACAGAGAGCAAAACCATGACCCCAACTAGTCCAAAGACAAAAGCCAACTAAACCCACCAACAACAACTACCACAAGCCAAACACAAACATACAACTATTAACATCCGAAAAGAGAAAAGCGAGATAAGCGTAAACCCGACAAGGACCAGAAACGAAAAGCCTCTAACACCTTGCAACCACCGGCAGCCAAAAGCTGACAAAGCCACAACCTATCATCCGCTGCAGAAAGCCACAACCCAAAGACACCACCACCAACTCCTGAAGCAGAGATCTTCCGCCACCAATTCCAGATTCGAGAACCATGCCTCTCCTAATCACCACCTTGATAACCATCGCTATCCCTCCACAAAGTCGATTTCGTTCTAGAGAAAACCAGATTTGGGAAGAGACAAAATTGAAGTCCATGCCGTGACGAGGAGAGGAATCGCCAATCTAAAGCACCACCCAACTCATCCTCAAGCCAAAAGCTCCATCGCAATCGAACCACCGCAACCTAGAAACCCATCTCGCCTTCTCTATTCTTCAATCAGAGCCGCAACAAACTGAGAACAAAAAGCTAAACTAAAGCAGAGACGATGTGACCGGATCCGGTGCTAGGAGAGCCACCGCGATCCGGCCACAGAACCAGAAATTTTTCTCGGCGGCTGACTTCTCGAGAGAGAAACAAAACTAGGGTTTTTTTCGTCGTACTAGAAGTAATCCCTCATCATTTTAGTTTTGATATATTGTACAATATCTATAATATTAAAAAAAATACAAAAATGAGAACTATATATTTCTTTGCAATTCTGTTTTAGATCTTTATCTTTAGCCACAAATACAGTCACTGATTGACATAAAAAAAAAATTGCTTAAAGAAATAGAATTTGGTAAAAATACTCCAAACAAAACAAGCCAAAAGAGACTAAACATTATATATCAACCCTAAACAAAATTATAAAAAATGGTAAAGTGTAATCTTTATTTAATCCTTTTATTTAATTTGCAAATTCAGCAACTATCACCTTTTCTTTGAACTTTGTTGTATAAATGATTTTTGTTCCCTTTTTGCAGCCATTAAAAAGAACAACCACGCGCTAACGGTGGCGCGTGTGATAAGATTCGGTTACCACTTAAACACACTTTTTTTTTTGTTTCCAGAATCGATGGAGGCTTAAAACGCTAATTAAAATTTAATCACAAATAAAAATAAAATTAATTTCCCTCTCTCTCTCTCAATCTTTCTGCTTTCTCGTTCTCCAACCACCGGAAAGAGAGAGAGATCTTCGTGTGCTTCTTCTTCTTCTTCTCTCTCTTTCTCTCTATCGCTCCGCCGCGCCACAATCACTGAGATGCGGCGGTGTAACAACAACACTGATAAATTCTCTGTGATTACGATGAGGCTTCTTACGCTTCTTCTGATCTGTAGTTTCTTCTTCTCCTTTGCTTATTCCGCCGAGTCCGATAACGAGACTGACTCAGTTGTTGTTACACGTGAGATCAATGGAACCGTCGTTGAGTCCAATGCCACGAGTGCCAAACCTAAAGAAGATAGTTTCGCTGATATGATCGATCGGGCACTTGAGAAAGAGTTTCCTGACAATGACCAGAACGAAGGTTCCTTAGATCTTCATTGTTCTACATTTCTTCAATTCTTTGTGGAGCTAGGGTTTCTCTAGGGATTTCAATTTTGTGATAATTGATCCTTCTCTAGGGATTTATCATTGATTAGCTAAGTGGTCTAGACTCTAGACTCTTTGTGCTCACATTTAGTCTATCTAGGTTTATAGATTTCTCATGGTTAATGGCTTTTAGCAATTAATGAATTGTGAATTGAAATGTAAAAAGTCATTGAACTCTTTCAATATGCTTTCTTTGTGAAATGCTTTTGTTTTGATTTTGCAGTTCCTGATCCAGGAAGCTTCAATAATAGTGTTGCTGATCAACAGGTTGGTAGTTGCAAGTTTTGATCTTTGTTTTAGCCAGTTTAATTGCTATTACGCAGCACACTACTCAATGTTGTTGTTTTTTTGGATTAAGCCATTTGTTATGCTTATTAGGCTGTTCTAGAGACTGTTGCACGAGTTAAGCCAAAGAAAAATGAAACCAAGACCAAGGAGGAGAAGTGAGTTTTTCTGATGCTTACGTTACCCTGTTTGGATTCGATTCGTGCAAGTAGTGGCTGTTATTTACTTTTGTTTCACAGGTTAAAGCAAACTATAACATATGAGTGATTTTGTTCTAGATCGTTCTTTAATTTGGATAGCGAGAATGGCGTAGAAGATACTCCAAGACTGATAGATAGGAAGGTAAGCTTAAATAGTGTTCTGTCATTTGCAATCGTTAGTAAAAGCATTCTCGTAATGTGACTTTGCTGCAACTTTAATCCAGGACAACGTTTTTATAATGTCCAATCCAAAATCCAAGTACCCTGTACTGCAGCTAGATTTAAGGTAAGTATAGCACTCGTAAGATAAGTTCTTCGTTCCGTTATATTTTGTTAGTATCTAACTTACTGTTTTTTGTTGGGGGCATCTCTCTTAAAACGGTACATTTGTAGGCTGATATCAGATTTGGTCGTCGTCATTGTTTCTGCTACTTGTGGTGGAATTGCCTTTGCATGCGCTGGTCAACCGGTCAGCACACACTTCCTTTTCAAAGCTTGTGACTTTCAATATTTTTTTGTTAGCATTGAGTATCCAGCTTTCCGGCATTGTAGAAATGATTTTGCTAGCTCTTAACTGATCAAACCATGACAGCGTTATTTAATTTCTACACTACTTATATGGCAGGTCATTACTGGGTATCTATTGGCTGGATCTATAATTGGACCGGGCGGGTTAAGCTTTGTTAGTGAAATGGTGCAGGTAGCTTACATCAGCTTTAGTACTTCAAAGTTCATCTTTTGTTGTCTTCATATACGTTTGGAAGTTTTCATGAGTACTAGATTGCCTGGGACAAGGACTTGATTTATAAATTTTTGTGTAGCACAGGTTGAAACAGTAGCTCAGTTTGGTGTTATCTTTCTCCTTTTTGCTTTAGGATTAGAATTTTCTGCAGCGAAGGTTTGCATGTTTCCACTCTTATATTTGTCTGGTTTCTTTGTTCGAACCGATTGAAACTCTTGAGACAGTTATTGTACTGTGTGGTTGCAGCTTCGTGTGGTTCGTGCAGTAGCTATTCCAGGAGGTCTTCTTCAGATATTTTTGTTCATGTGCTTGAGTGGAATAACAGCCTCGGTATGTTCTAAAAGTGTAACAAGCGACTTAAGAATGAGTTGTTAGGAGTTGTGGTATGAATCATGAATATAGAGTACATTCAGCTGACTTAGCTGTTTCTTCATTGCAGTTATGTGGCGGTAAAC